GGCGGCGGCGGGGCCTGGGAGGTGGGTAGCGTGGGGGGCCGGCGCGTAGCTGGGACTATGGAGGGGCAGAGCGGTCGCTGCAAGATCGTGGTGGTGGGAGACGCAGAGTGCGGCAAGACGGCGCTGCTGCAGGTGTTCGCCAAGGACGCCTACCCCGGGGTGAGGGACCCGCGTCTTGGGAGAGGGGCGCTAAGACTGCTGGAGATGCATGATAGGGACCCGGGGGACAGATGGAAACGGGTACCAGTGTAACCAGGGACAAGAAACCAGGACTCGGGGGGCCGGGGATGGGGGTGGCGTTGGGGGCTCTAGAAGGACTGCAGAGGATTGGAGTGGAAAGAATTAGGGAGCAGGGTGAGATGGATGGGGTTTGGGAGAACCAGAGGAGGAGAGCGGGGACAATGTCGGAGATCCCGGGCAACGGATAGAGGCAGAGCTAGGGGCTGAAGAGACCGGGAGAGGGTCTGGGAGCCTAGCAGAGATTTCTCAGGGGCAGCAGCTCTCGGAATCTCCCCTTTGCCCAATCCCAGACCAACTTGTGTCCAAGGGCTGGGCTGGACTGGGTGTGGAAGTGAGGAGGGCATTTGGGGTGAAGACTGGAGAAGAGGCTCTCATCTGGATCCATCCGTGTCTGCAGAGTTATGTCCCTACGGTGTTTGAGAACTACACTGCGAGCTTTGAGATCGACAAGCGCCGCATTGAGCTCAACATGTGGGACACTTCAGGTAGCCAAGTCCCCTGGGGTCACCCTGACTTCCAGGGCTGCTCACTCTTACCTGTCCCTTGGCTAGACCTTTAAGTTCCAGGTTGGCCCAATCCATCCGTCTGGGGAAGGAAAAATCAAGTTTCTGCTTAAACTCAGAGAAACTGAGGCAGAGCTCCCTGAGCCTGACAGAAACCATGTTCTGGAGGAAAAAGACTGAGTCCCTCCGCTAGGCTCGGCCTACCTGGGAAAATTGGAAAGGAATGGTTTGGAGGGTGCCGGCCCCATATACTGAAGAATGTGGGTTCAAACCTGGCCCCGGCCAAACTGCAACAAAAAAAACAGCTGGGCGTTGTGGTGGGCCCTTGTAGTCCCAGCTACTCAGGAGGCTGAGGCAAGAGAATCTCCTAAGCCAAAAGCTGGAGGTTGCTGTAAGCTGTGATGCCACGGCATTGTACTGAGCGGGACAAAGTGAGACTCTGTCTCTAAAAGAAAAAAAAAAAGGAATGATTTTTATTTTGGATTTTTGGAAAACTTTTTTTAGTACATAAGACTGGGTTTTGGAAAAACATTCAGAATTTCCTGGGTGGGATGTGGGCAAGGGACCCATTTTTCTACACTGGACTAGAGAAATCTGATGTCAAGTCCTAAAAGGATGGGAGAGCACTTTTCTCTGCCCTGTTCTCCCTCCCTCCAAAACCAGGAGGGTTTTTATTTTTACATGAGTTCCCTGGGGGGCTGTAGATGTCTGTCAAAGCCCAGAAAGCAAAGCAAAATTTTGTGAGAATGTCCACAGATTTCATGAGCTTCTCAAGGGAGTCCAAAACTCAGAAAAGATTCAGAATTGTTACTTTTAGAGAAACCCCTAGGGAAGTAGATAACTTTTTCCTACCCTCTCACCTCCCCCATGCCTGCTCTTCTTCTTGGGAAACACAGATTCCACGAAGGGTATTAGTGATTGTTCCCAGCCCTCGACCAAGATTTCTAAGGCTGCCCATTCCTTTCTAGGCCTCCCACCCATTCAGTCCTCTCATCTGTCCCCTCACTCTGTGTCTTCCCTCAGGTTCCTCTTACTATGATAATGTCCGGCCTCTGGCCTATCCTGACTCTGATGCTGTGCTCATCTGCTTTGACATTAGCCGACCAGAAACACTAGACAGTGTCCTCAAGAAGGTAGGAATCTGGGGAAGTTAGATGAGGGGGACCATTCTGACCCATGAGCCAGGAGGGTGGGGTGTAGTAGCTGGGGCCTGGCTGTCAGCTAGATAGTGTGTGAAACTCTCAGGCCTCCCTAACCCTGCCCCATCCCTACTCTTCCTCCTCCCCGTATGAAAATCACTCCTCAGAGCTGAATTCAGCACTGGGGGAGAAATGGGAGTACTCAAGGGATTCCTCATCTGCTCTTCCATTTCCTTGGGTATGGGAGCTCCAGATGGAGGGGATGGGAATGTTGATCCCCAGTTCCAGAAAACCCTGTGGCCTGCTCTCCAGGCTCCTATTTCCATGAGAAAAGCCTATGGTAAAAGGACAGAAGTCTGCTAGCACAACTCCAGTTCTCAGGCAGGGGGAGGGGAGGGGAGGGGAGGGTTGATCTGTTCTCAGGAGAGAGTACAGGAAAGGGGAGAGGGGATGGGAACGTTCCAGGCTGGCAACCCCACATGGCCACTGAGGACGAAGGAGAGTCCTTTAGCCCTACCTCAGTCCTCTTCTCCCCTTCTCTCTCATGCCTTCCTGCTCTCCACCCAAGTCTGCCACTCCCACCTCCTGCCTCACACGGGGGAGTGCAGACAGACGGACACATGGTTTCTGAGTGGTGTGAGGAAAGAAGGGTATGCTCCTAGTGCAGAACAAGGGTTCACCCTGTGTCTCCCTCTCTCCTTTCAACTGTATTTTCTTTCCTCAAATAGTGGCAAGGGGAGACTCAGGAGTTTTGCCCCAATGCCAAGGTTGTGCTGGTTGGCTGTAAACTGGACATGAGGACTGACCTGGCCACACTGAGGGAGCTGTCCAAGCAGAGGCTTATCCCTGTAACACATGAGCAGGTGGGACCCTTGACCTCTGACCTCTGACCTAACCCAACCCAGTCTTCTCACCTCTACCCCTGCCAGGCTCTGATTTGAAAGCATCCCCCCACTGCCCCCCCATCCCTTGCTCTGCCCTCTAACCTGATCCCTTGACTTCAACCCCAGCCCACAGCCTTCATGCTCCTTGCTGAACTGCAGGCTAAGCCCCATAACTTTGTCCCATGCACTTCTATTCCAGGGGACTGTGCTGGCCAAGCAGGTGGGGGCTGTATCCTACGTTGAGTGCTCCTCTCGGTCCTCTGAGCGCAGTGTCAGGGATGTCTTCCATGTGGCCACAGTGGCCTCCCTTGGCCGAGGCCATAGGCAGCTTCGCCGCACTGACTCACGCCGGGGACTGCAGCGATCTACTCAGCTGTCAGGACGGCCAGACCGGGGGACTGAGGACGAGATACACAAGGATCGAGCCAAGAGTTGCAACCTCATGTGAGGGGCCAGGGTGGGGTAGAGTGTGAGAAGGGGTGGTGAGGGCACAGTTGTGCTCCCACCTGCACCCAGGCTTCCTGACCACTTGATCCTGGCTGGGAGGTCAGCGCAAGCCATTCTCCTGGGCAGGGGCACCGGAGGGCTGAAGGGTGTTACCATCCCTCACTTCCTCATCCTCTTCATCCTCCTTATCTCTCCAATAGAACTAACAGGGCCTGAATCTGGGGCATGAACTGGGATGGGCAGGAGTGGGTTAAGGAAGCTGGCATCAAACAGTGACCTTGGTTGAGTGTCCTATATGAAAGGTACCTTCCCTCCTCACTCATAGTCCCCATATCCTGGTGCTGGCTTCTATCCCTAAGGAAAGTGTCCACTCTTTAATCTTCTCTCTTCCTTCCCACTTCTACAGCTGTTCTCACACATCCTAACCTCCATGCAACATGCACTAAATTAAAAAGCAAGAAGCCTGTTCCCCTTCAACCCACCAGCCCTAGCTCTTCCCCTTCTCCAGTAGTCCCCAATAAAACCCATGTCCTTGGAAAACGGCTGCAGCTTTAGTTTTATTGCTTTTTAAAAAACCAATCTACCAATTTCTAGCAGCAGAGGGAACTTGAGAGGGAACATTCCTGTCTATGCCCACAGGTCGAGCACAGGAAAAAGCCATGAGTTGGATCAGAAGTGTCCCAGAGGTGGGAGATTGAGATATCTTTTTTTTTTTTTTTTTTGAGACAGAGCCTCAAGCTGTCCCCCTGGGCAGAGTGCCGTGGCATTACAGCTCACAGCAACCTCCAACTCCTGGGCTCAAGCGAGTCTCCTGCCTCAGCCTCCCAAGTAGCTGGGACGACAGGCGCCCGCCACAACACCCGGCTATTTTTTGGTTGCAGCCATCATTGTTGTTTGGCGGGTCCGGGCTGGGGATTCGAACCCGCCACCCTAGGTGTACGTGGCTGGCGCCTTAGCCAGTTGAGCTATAGGCGCCGAGCCGAGATTGAGATATCTTGCAACTATTCATCTCAGTTAATAAGTAGGATGATCCTCAGGCCATTTAGGGGTTCTAGAGTGGACTGCTGTGTGATTTCTGAGGATTACTCAGCCAGGGGGCCCTGCTAGTATGTCAGGGGTCCTGCTCACCATCTCCTGGCTGCCTGGCCTAGAACTTGCTGCCCTTTTGGGGGGATTGAGGGGGGTAGGGGAAGGTATTAAAAACCTCCACATTATAGACATTGACCCGGGACAGGGGGAAGTTTCCCAAGGGGTTAGCAGTATGATTCTGAGGTCTGTGATGATTTTCAGGGAATATCAGCTGTGAGTTTAGTGTCAACCTTGCCCCATCCCTTAGAGAGGGAAAGCTGGTAGAGGAGACGGCCAGAGGGCTTGTTGTCAGGAAGGACAGTGCTGGTCTGTTTTCTCGGGAGTCTGGTTTCAGATTGTCCTGTATTCCCTCCCTGGCTCTGGTCCCACTGGCCTCTTTTCAGTGACATTCTCCCCCAGGAACCATCACTGGCTCTCTCCTCCCCCAACCCCAGCTAATTCTCCCTGCAAAAGAGACCTTACCCTCTTGACCACTGGGGTCCCACCCTAATCTCCAAACCGATCTCTTGCTCATTCATTCACCAAATATGTCTGAGCACTAACTGTGTACCACCCACTAGCTTGGGAAACAGCAAGGACCAGTGTCTGAGTTTTTGGAGGCTTGCCCAGTAGAGAAGAAAGGTACCCCAGGTGTAAAGGTGCCTTGGCTGAGGGATCATTTGTGCATGTGTGGAGTGTTGTGAGAGCTCCTTATAGCCTGGGCAGCCAGGCCTCTGAATCAGCTCCTGAGACTTGAAGAGAAGTTTGCCAGGCCGGGAAAGGCTAGGAAAGACACTCTAGGCAGAGGGTACAGCATGTGTAAACACGGGGGGATAAGAATGAGCATGGTGCTGTTGGGGCTCCTCCGGCAAGGAGAGCAGAAAAGGCTGGGAAGGTACACTGAGGTGCAGGAACCACAGAAGAGCCCAGACTTCACTCTGAAAATGTGAGGAGTCACTAAGGACTTCAAGCAGAGAGTGACGTGATCTCATTTGTTTCTTGGATAGATGGTATGAGGTGTCAGGGGCTGGGTGATTTGACTCTGAGATGTGCCATTTAAAATAGTTTCTTCTTTGCCCATGCCAGGCCTCTATCTTGAGAGAAAATGAAATCCTTCCTATTCCCTGGTTCATCAGATACCCCTGTCCCCTGCCCCCACTCCCAACTCCTGTCTTGGTCTCAGCCAATCCCAAGGACTCTAGGATAACTTCAAGGACACTTGAAATTATCCAAGTGTTCTTGGATAACCACTCCCTCAAACTAAGACCTGGTTAGGTGCTGGCTCAGATTCTCTTCAAGGACCCTAGTCCTGGGCTGAAGGTACAGGAGAGGACAGGGCTGGGGCTCCTGGACACCTCCACCACCCCCCTCCAAGTAGATCTCCATCTGTCTCAGAGGACTGACCCTTCCCTCACAGAGACCTGCTGCAAAAATGGACTTAGGATTTTTGGCTGAGTGGCTTCTCTTTTCCACTTTGGACTTCTTGTTGCTACTAAGCAGGCTCAAGCCTGCAGCCACCAAAGCATAGTGTGTTTGTAGCTGTGGCCCCTCTCTTCTAACCTCCTTCTCCTGCCATGTGCACTCAGGGAATGCAAATGAATTCCAATATCTGCTGAAAGCAAACATAATTATGAAGATAAATCAGCTGGAGTAACCCCCAAAGTTTAATACATTTTCAATACCACTGGGAACAGATTTTGGTTCCCTCTGCAGGTCTGGGATGCCAAACGTTTTATTTCCAAGGGAGGAGGCTCTGCCTCTGGGCTCAGGAGCTGAATGGGTGGGAGGAGGGAATGGGAATAAGGCCTCCACTGGCTGCAGGGAGGGCTTACTCCCGCCCCCTACCCCAAATGCAGGAGTCAGGCCCAGCTTTCACCTCTGTAGCTGTTTCTCCCACAAATTAGATTCTCCATTTGGGAAACAATGTAGCTTCATTAATGATTTAATGAAATAAACAACTAATCATGCTGTGATGCTGCCAGTGTTTCTTAACCTAAGCTATCAGTCTGCCTAGGAGGGAGGAAGGGGAGAACAGAGGGGAAAGGAAAGAGGGGACTCAGTCTAACCCCTGAAATACTTCAGCTGTGAGTCGTCCTTCTCTCTCAGGAAGGGCAGTCCTGGAAAGAGCTTGAGCTTTGGAGACAGAAGTCTGGGGAGCCTTTGGCAAGACCCAACAACTGTCTGAACCTCAGTTTTCACACCCCAAAAAGGAGGCTGATAGCCATGTCTACCGCTTGACCTTGGTAAGGGGCTGAGCTGATGTCAATCTTTATTCCTTACAACCAAGACAGGCAGGTTTGAGTGCATCTAAGCTGGGCCTGAATCAGGAAAGGCTTCTTGGAGCAGATGTTTTTTCTTTGTTTTGTTTGTTGCCCTTGGTAGAGTGCCTGGCTTCATAGCATACAGCAATCTCAAACTCTTGGGCTGAAGCAATCCTCTTGCCTCAGTTTTTCTTTTTTCTTTTTTTTAAGAGACAGAGACAGAGTCTCATTTTCTTGCCTTCAGTGGAATGCTGTGGCATCACAGCTCACAGCAACCTCCAGCTCTTGGGCTTAAGTGATTCTCTTGCCTCAGCCTGCCGAGTAGCTGGGACTACAGGCGCCCACCACAACCTCTGGCTACTTTTTGTTGCAGTTTGGCTGGGGCTGGGTTTGAACCCGCCACCCTTGGTATATGGGGCCAGTGCCCTACTCACTGAGCCACAGGCGTGCCTTCAGTTTTTCATTTTCAAAGAGACAGGGTCTCACGCTTGCTCAGGCTGCTCTGACCTCAAGGGATACTCCCTCCTTGGCCTCCCAGAGTGCTAGGATTATAGGTGTGAGCCACAGCCCTGGTCTTTGGAGGGGGTATTTTGTGCTAGGATTGAGAGTCAGGAAGAAGGAGCAGATGGCTCTGTCTTATTCCCACACCAATCCTGGGGGCTGGAGAGAATTGAAGTCCCTTGGTTTACACATTTCTGAACAACTTTTGTTACTTTTTCTTTTCTTTTCTTTCTTTCTTTTTTTTTTTTTTTTTTTTTTTT